GCCACAGATCACTAACTTAGTTAACACCCCACCTCAAAACACCACCTCTTTATAAAGAGATTTGCATTATACATCTATATAAATATTACATATTATGCATATAATAAAATACACATAAAGAGGTTTGCATAAAAATCAAAATACTTAAATTCCAAATAGCACACAGTGAATGGATAACCAGGTATCACAGAATCATACAGAATGATTTGGGTTGGAAGGGACCTTAAAGACCATCTAGTTCCAACTCCCCTGCCGTAGGCAGGGACACACTCTGCTAGACCAGGTTGCTCAAAGCCCCATCCAACCTGGCCTTCAACACGTCCAAGGATGGGGCATCCACAGCTTCTCGGGGCAACCTGTTCCAATGCCTCACCACCCTCACAGTCAAGAATTTCATCCTGATGTCTAATCTAAATCTTCCCTCTTTCAGTTTAAAGCTATTTCCCCTTGTCCTATCATTCCAGGCCCTTGTAAAAAGTCCGTCCCCAGTTTTCTTGCAGGCCCCTTTAGGTACTGGAAGGCTGCTCTAAGGTCTCCCCGGAGCCTTCTCTTCTCCAGGCTGAACCACCCCAACTCTCTCAGCCTGTCTTCATAGGAGAGGTGCTCCAGCCCCCTGATCATCTTCGTGGCCTCCTCTGGACTCGCTCCAACAGGTCCATGTCCTTCTTGTGTTGGGGACCCCAGAGCTGAAGGCAGTACTGCAGGGGGGTCTCACCAGAGCAGAGTAGAGGGGCAGAATCACCTCTCTTGACCTGCTGGTCACGCTGCTTTTGATGCAGAAAATAAGCAAGTATGTAGCAAATACGTAGGTAACCAGTATTTTTCTGGCTAATTGTGGACAATATAGTCCCATCGCATACTGCCAACTTATTTTTCTCATATTAAAAAAATGCTTTCGTTGTAAATAGTAATATTAAATATTTTACACATGCAATTATATCTAGGTATAGAGGTTAAAAATCAACTGGAACCATTAATTATGAACCTTTTTCTCAAACAGAAATGTAATCCTAATAGAAGTTCCTCCCTTTTTCTCTGCCAACTTTACCACCACACAATATGCCATAGAGAAAAAAGGGGAAGTGTCAACTTGTGTAAATTGTCCCTTATGTAATGCAAACCATCTGTTTAAAAAACAAAACAAAATGAAAAATCAAGCCACTCCCAAGCATGATCTGCTATGGAGAAAAAGAAGGAAAAGGAAATTTACTACATGGAATTGAAAGCCAAAGACCATGACCTGCAGTGTAACCATGGAGAAAATATTTACCCCTCTCCTCCCCATATTTACTGAATTTTGCAAAATATTTGGAGAAGTATAAGTGAATAATTCGCTCTGCACATATTAGAGATTGATATTGTTGTATTCTTTTGAGCATTTCAGCCATCTAGAATGTTTCCAATCAGGTAGGAATCCAAGCAGAGAAATCTCTTTGTTTCCAGTAACAGACAGAACAGCTCTCACACAGAGATGCCACCACTGGGTCAGAAGGTCCCTGAGTCCCCAGCCACTGGAACTTGGCAGAGTATAGGGGGATAAAGTATTCGTATGCTCTTGCCCTGTTCTTCTACTCTTTAGGTATCTGCCATGAGAAGAATCTAAATGGACTGCTGCTGTGAACTGTTATGACTATTTTTGTGTTATCTTCAGTCAAATACTGAGAAAAGGAAGTATGTGTAGAGAAAACAGTACTCTTCCTTTCCACACTCTCTCTCTGGATAAGCCTTTTGTCAATTGGAAGGCACTGGCTGAGGAACCCTACCACATACACTCTCTGAAACCACTGGGAGACATAAATTTGACTCTCTGTTGCTCTAACATGGACAGGTGAATCACAGAAAAAGTTTGGTTTCATTATCTAAGGTGAATGAGAGAAAAATAGCAGTATAACTATGTATTTGGTTTTTTTTCTCTTTCACTGACCTCGAGGCTTCATCACACATTCTCTTCCAGCTGCAGCTGTGCTGGCTGAAGAGGCCACCATCTCCAATCACAGCCCCCTGCCAAAGGTTACCACTGTGACCAAGCTGCTTGTTTAATCACTTCCCAACATGTTTCCATTAAAATGAGCCAGCTCAGTTTAAGCAATTTTAACAGAAAGTCCTTGCTATCCCAGCCTGGACAGAAGCAAGTTAGGGAATGCTTAACCGAGAAGCCTGGCCACTCTGTCAGAAGTTAGAGACACAGTGATGAGCAAGTGGAGACAGTTTTCTCTTCAGCTACTTGGCCTGCAGACAGAAGGCGGCAAGTAACCCCGTCATCAGCTGTGACCAGTAGCACAACTGACTAGAGATCTGCAGTGCCTTGCACAACACGGCTGCTGATTCTGAGATACTCTTTTGGAGACCCGATTTTTCAAATGGGCAGGGCACATAACAGTATAAATGTTCCTTTGAAGGTGTCCCCAACTGGATAGCCATAATCAAGGTACTCAGCATCATTACTTAGCTATGAGAATATTGGTTGTCACAATTCCCTCTTCCGTCTCCCCTAAATTTTCAAATCTCCCTTTTATTGAGAAACAGTATATGAAAATTTTCATAGTTCTTTGTTATTTGTAACTGGAGCCAAATTGACCCATGGAAATTTTTAACATTCCTCTGTGCAGGTTGCTAATGCTAGTAAATAAAAGAATCATCACTAGAGAATTACTACCAATCAGCCATACGAAATAATTCTGAAAATCTATCAGTCCAGAAAAAAGGGCAGGTCTTTCAAAAGGATCAGGAAGTTATAGAAGTGGGACTCCATTTTCATAAGGTACATAAGCCAAATTTGAAACATACAACGGCAGTCAGGTAAAGATGCTGGTAGTGGGGTCTTCAGAAGTTCATAGGAAGGCCTTGCATCCAAAAGCAAACTCAGTGAAAGTTAGGTATTTAACGTGCTGAGATGCTGAGCGAATTAATCTGCTGTACATTCTCTGTTGCAGTGCTATACTGGTGCCTACTTCAGCTCAGTTCAAGCTAGCATAGGTGACTCTACTGAAGTTTACAGTACAAACATTTGCTAAATGTCCCTGAGACTTAGATCCTAGTACTTTTGTCACTCTTCAAGTGAAGATTTAGTCTCCTAAATCATTCAGGTGCTTTATAAAATTTTATCCAAAGCTCTTTGGTTTACAATCTACCACATCTTTGCCAAGAGGACTGCTACACAGAAGGGCAAGCAGAAAAGTGGGAGAAACATGTTTTAATGGCCTGTCAAAAACATTACTTGATGTGAACATGTTATAGTTTTAAGGCAGCTACGTTTTTCATTGCTACAACCTTTCTAGGTGTAGCTAAATCTATATATGCTTTTTTGTTTACACTAAGCTGTAAGTGAAAAGAAAAAATCCTTTGGATTACTTATCACTTTTCCTCAGCTTCTCAGTCAAATTCAGTCAAACATGCCAGGGAATCACCAAACACAGAGCTGTCTTTTTCCACTGGCTTCTGCTCAGTCCTAGACCTTGGCACGCTGTTAATTCCAAGCCTTACTGCCAGAAGCAGCAGCAACTTTGCTCTTTTTTCTTTTTCATTTTCAAGGTTACACAAACATGCAATGTCATATGTACTTCATGGATGTGAGGAACTATAGAACTGTCTTACAGTTAACGCACATGCTGTAAAAAGAAGGGAGAAAACCAACCTCAACTCTTTCCATCCAAACCAGACTTCATTAACATAGAACTAATTTAATCTGCCAGATATATCTAATGGGGTGCTTTCCTGACCTTTTCCAGGCCTACAGTTATGGTAGCATTCATATTCAGCGTGGCTTTCAGTTAAATATTCTGTAATGTGAATCACTACTTCTCCCATTTGAGAGAGACTGAGTGTGAAATCACTGGAAGAAGTGAATGAGCCTATGCTTTGGTACTGCAGCTGCTGAGGGACATGAAGTGTTTTGAACAGTAATTTTCAGTAGTGGCCCCAGTCTGTAAAATATTAGGAAAAGGGATTAGTGGCCAAAGAAACTCAAGTTTGCATTCAAGTTCTGTATCTACAAGGTTACAGAACCTGAAAGAAATCTGAAATTGTGGGCTCAGTTTAACTAAAGGAATCTTTCTATGTTCTAATTTTATGAAACTGCTGCAGTGGCAAGTCCCAAGAAACTCAAAACAACTGATAAATTCATGAGATAGTCAATGATACAGATGGATACACTGACATGGACGTAATAAAACTAAACACCCATGCTAGAGACAGAGAATGGTAGAACAAGCAAGTCCCAGATAACTCAGTAGGAAACTGATGTCAGAAGAGTTACACAAGCACAAATGCACGAAAACAAGTCTATGAAATTCATGTTCTAGCTAAGTGTATTCATGGAAATGGAGCTCCTCGATTATTCCTTAACTTGTATTTATTATCATCCTGTTGACAGGAACATGAAATCCTATAGAAGGCTTAAATCAAATTTCAAAAAAAATCTGGGGAGTGTAGAGAACAATACAAATCTTTCAAAGATTAAAAAAGTAGATGCTGTATTTTTTAGTGTTAGGCTCTTGTAAATATAGTTTGTGTTAGTCCATCAAACTGAAAGGCATATGTTATCTTTGATCTCTGTGCAGAACCCCCGTTGAGATTAATGTGAGTTCTGTGTGAAGAAAGAGACTAGAATAAGCCCTCAGTTCACAAATAGTAAGCAGGCTGCTTCAGGAAAAAAACATATTTTCTTACAACAGTGTCGAAATTTATTGGGAAGTTTCAAATAGCTTCTCTTCAGATGTATGTACGTATGTGTGGTCATGAGTATGTTCCCTTGTCAAAAAGATCTGTCAGAAAGAAGGTGCACAAATCTACTTGTGTGAAATGTTTTGCTGTTAGGTTGAAACACATACTTCTTCTCTGATAATCTTTTCTCATATGATAACGACTAATCCTCTATTTTACACTCATCTGTGCAAGTTAATGGCTTTGACCATTAGGCTAGAGGCATGATACTTTCATACATATTGGCATGAAATTGTGCCCTATACCCACTTCCAGCTAAAAAAATCTCCAGGACTTACTGCATCCCGCTTTGTAGCTGAAACCAGGAGGAAGAAGGAATCCTTGCTGTGCAGCTGCTGCTAGGGTTCGTTGGTCTGGAGGGAATACGGGAATCATTAATGGAGGCAGCTGACCCTGGACCTGCTGAACAGGAGAGGGAAAATCAAACATGGAATTTTTTCTGGGGAAAATGTCTGTTTATATGCTTTCTCTTACTTCTGATCTGAGAGGTCAGGTTTGAATCTGCTCCTCCATAATGGGGTGTTCCAGTAGCATCAACTATTCAGCCTCATCTTAATTACCAAAGCACTTCATATGAATTACATTAATCCAAAATAAATCTAAAGATTCCACTAATGCATACCTATATCCCAATTAATTATTCCCCCCACCCCAGTCAATAATGCTTCACTTCTCTTTGACTACAACATGAGTTTTTCTTCTCTTTTACTGCACTGTGTAACAACATCTCTGTCCCAGACAGTAGTTTTCACCCTGACTGAGCCCAAACACAAAGATCTGCACACAGAGAAGTACAAATATGTGCATAAGTAGCGTACAGCACAGTCAGTACTATTTTTCTGCCCATATACATGCACTTCTTTGTACATGTGAAAAGATAACGTCTCTAAGATGGTAAGAAAAAGGGCTGAGACACTTTATTCACAAATAAAACACAGCTATGTCTGAAGTGTTAGCTGTTTAACTTTGCACAGCAACCGTACACAACCATGCAAGTCAGGAAATGGAAAATATTATATTGTAAGTGGATACTGTAGGGGACTTAAGACATGCAGAAATTAGTCATCAAAACTGGAAGTTGGCCATGGCACAACATCTAATACTATTGCTTTTACCCAGTTCAGGGTTTTTAATTGCTAGAAATGGACATGGTCTTTGTATTTTGCACAGATGAGAAACAAAAAGGTTCCTAGATTAAAATGTTAACAGGCTAGTTTTAATTAAAAAAACCCACTGTACTGATCAGATCAGCCAGTAAAGGGAGAGTGACTCATTTTTTAAGAGAGGTCATCTAGATTTTTAATGGCATTGTGAAGCTGAGGCATCAGAGGTACACATGTTATCAAAGACTAAAATTTAGTTTGTGGTCTGTAGCCTTAAGAAACAAGGAGAATTAGGGTGCTGATAGACAACCTTTTTTGGCCAGAGGTGTAAGAAAGTGTTACTCCCTTCATTATTGCCTGCATAGCAGAACTGGCAAAAGAGAATCTGTGGTAGCTCCTTGGTTGCCACAGTTCAGACTACAGCATCTTGACTTAGTTTTATTTTATTTTGATCTGCTGAAGATCCAGGAGATGTCTTGGTTCACCCAACACTGTTAGAAGGCAGAAGAGTGATATGAAATTTGGGGTGGTAACCTCTTAATTTATGCCAGGACCTGTCAAAACCTGTATGTGTGCTGACGGTATCGTCTGAAACAATTTGCAAGGATGGAATTCCAAGAGCGCTGTTGATGGAAATCCTTGCAGTGGGAGATTAAGATTGGGACTGAAGCTAAAGCAGATGTAGCTCCACTCACTGAGATAACTTGATCCATTTTGTGTTACTTCAGTATTCTCCTTTCTATTCTGATCCCATTAACTAGAAGACATATGTACTTTTAACTGGATTGCTGGTGAAAAAAAAAAAGAGAAGAAATGTGATTTCTTCTCTATCCCCACTCAGTTACCCTAGAACTGCCCAACGTCTGCCTTTATGTGTTTATTTTCTGTTTATTTTGTTTGGTTTTGTAGGGGTTTTTTTGTTTGTTTGTTTGTTTTTTTAAGACAAAGACAAAGTAACTGTATTCTTTTAGAACAAAAATGAACAGCCGTGTGGAACTTTTGCATAGTACTCTTCTTCGGCAAAAAGCCATGGAACTTTTTTTTAAATGGTTTCCAAGGATGAAAGTGACTTTGCCAAGCAAAGAAGCTTCAAAACAGGACTCAAAAACACTAATAGAAAGACAGATGGTTCTACTAAGAGCTTTGCTGCCAAAAAAAATGTTAAAAAAAAAGTGAAAAAAATGGAGTGATGTTATTGAAGCTGACTGCAAAGTTCTCTGATGACTGCAAATACTCTTGTCCCACTGCAAGTGTTAACTCTGCCTCCAGGGCTAATATAACTAAAGCACCACACACACACAAATTGTCATTGCCAAGCCCACAATGTAGCACAAGTCTGCACTTGATTCCAAGTGACTGCCAAATACATGAGCAAAACACCACACTGAAAAATTCCCATTTACAAAAACATTTACCAGGAAAATGCCCCTTCTTCTTAATTCTGACTGCTGCATTTCATTTTTTGAAATCACTGCTCCTCTTTATCTCTCCAAGGGGCCTTACACTCACTAATTTCAAAAGACACAACCCCAGTTGCATTAAGGAGGTAAGAACTATAGAGTGATGAAGATGGTTTGCATGGATACAGAAATAAAGCAGTCAAAACAACGTGATTTTCATTCCAGGATGGAATGTATGTAGCACCACTCTAACAGCTACACTTCATTTTCTCCCAAATGCAAATAAGTGCAAACATTAGTTTATTTTAATCCGATTACCTGACACAATACAATACAAATTACGGACTCTTCATTTTTATGGCTCATTTAACTACTACATCTTAACTTTTGTTACATCTATTATTACTACCTAAAATTGCTAGGATACAACTGTTGCAAGTGGCACAGAATATAGGTCCTCCTTCTGAGTTTTACACAAAGGGTATTTGCCTCTATTTTTGGTTTTGGTCTTTTTTTTAAGCTATTATTACACCAGTTACATCTCCCTCAAATGTTTTTTTTTGTTACATAGTTTACATGCTTTCCAAGGTTTTCTTGACAGTAACTTCTTGATACTGCATTTCCAATTTGAACATAATGGTCTGCAAATCAGAGCTATTTTTCAGGCCCTTCAATTTGTTCTGCTAATGGACATATATATGTCCATAAAAAGAAATACATCTTTAACAATCTAAAAATGCATATACCTGTCACAATTCTACACTTCCCAGTCTCCCTATGTGATTATTTTTTCTTAGCTGTAATTTCCTGAGGGTGAAGACTGTAGTTTAAATCCTCACAAAATTCCCAATGGATTTAATGGGCTACAATTTCACCTTGTAACTTCTTATCTACTTGATGATGCTAGTCTGGATGATATAGATACAATCTTCCAAGGGCCTATTTTTTCACTACACATACTGTTGCCATGATGTCAACTGACCACACAGTTCCCTGGTCTTTCTTTTAATTTGAATGCTGTCACCACATACCAGATTAACCGTAAGTATTCTTGTACCGCGTGACAAACCAAAGCAGCATGGTACGCACAGAAAAGGCATACGACACACATAAAATAACAAAGAAATGAACCAAATGTCATGAGAGCCATAATATTCTAGATAATCAATTCACTAGTCAAGGAATTCATACTTTCATTCACATATCTCTCACAAGTAATTTGGGTCAAGAGGGAAGCTCCTGCTGCAATGAAAGACATAAACCATACCACTTGACATTTAGTTTATGAGAAATAACTCCCCTTAAGGAAGCAGATACACATGAGTTCAAACAGTCCAAGAAAGTAAAGGTTCTTTAATTCATAATGAGGACAGTAAGTCATCTTCTGTTAACAGCAAAGTATTTTAGGAGCATAAGAAATTGCAATTAAGTTTAACCTAGAGCCCAAACCAAAATCAGAGACCCTTCATAGTTGTCACTGAAAATCCAAAAAGGAGACTAGCCCTAAAAACCTTATGAATGAAAAAAATAGTATGAGTACATGACAAGCAACTAATAGTATATCTACTGTCCGAGAGGAAACTGAGGCATCCAGAGTGGCCTGTAGAGATTTTTGATTTTGGGAAGTGCCTCACTGTATCTTTATTTGTTTCAGTGCCTTTGAAAAATCTGCCCTTAAATGACTTAGCCTTATCAAAAGAAATTTGTTAGTAAACTTGGAACAGATTCAAGTTGTTGAAGCCTGGGCCAGCATCTTCACAAATCTGCGCATGTCCTTTATGACTTGACCATATCAAATCCAACTGCACAAAGACGGGCATTCAGTATAGCTGCAGCTAGACTCCCAGCATTCCCAGCTTCATTATAATTTTAGCATTTCCGTCTAAATTCTGGTCTCCCACCTACTTTTAGGAACATACTATGGTTACCACAGCTACCTAAGCACTAGGCAGTATGTTTTTAACAGTTACCCCTACTGTTTGTTACTAGCTCCTGCTGCGACTTATATAAATTTAGACTGCAAACACTTGACAGCTACATTTCTACTCTATTTTCTGTAAAATGTCACGTGCGCTTTGGGTCACTATATAAATAGCTACAAAGACAAAATAGTTTAAGGAAACATTAAGGTTGCAAAGTTAGGCACTCAAGGCTTCAGAAATGTCAGAATCAGGATAGCGTCCATGACCTTATTTTGGTCCTTTATGCCCATCCTGACAGTCTTTAATTAAAAGTTCTCAATTTCCCCCCTCACATGACTCTTGCTTAATCTAGCAGGCTTATAATATTTCTTGAGTAACATAAACCTATATTTTCAACAAATCTAAGCCCCTAACATAGCAGCTGCTATTACTTTCATTTATTTTATCTTCATACACTTCCACTACTTTCATTTCCACAGTTGCTCCTTACAAGTTTATTAGCATAAACTTTTCCTCTCTCCAAGGTAAACATCTCAATACAATTCCTGGCATCCATATATAACACTTTCCACTGAGGGGTGAATACTGCTCTTCTACCCACCTCTAGTTCTTCAGAAGCAATTCTATCCATTTCAGTGAGACTGGTGACAGAGTAACGAATTACTCAATGTGAGTAAAAATGGCTGCTAAAAACAACAGTCTCTTCTCTACAAACTGAAAAAATTCTGAGCAGTATTTCACTCTTGAGCTGTTTAGAAGATGCCCTTCAAGAGCTGTATGTGCATCTTTGCTGAAACAATCTCTTACATGGCTTCTTCATGTAGAAGTGTGGCTAATTTTTATTTTCGTTTGAGTTATTCTCAGTTGCCTCAAAGAAGTTCAGATTTTACATTCTTAGAACAGTAGATGCAGGTGAATGATTCTATTAATTTCAAACTGTTGAACGAATATCTTCTTGCCTGCGACTTGTCTGT